TTTCTCTGAAACTCCTGCATATACTTCACAAATTTCTCATTTTTCATATTTTAAGAAAACATAATTTGCTTACTGTTCGTATGATCTGTAGCTGCAGGACGATCAAGTGAAAGCAGATGGACATGTATTTGTGCTGCTGATAAGTTGCCTAGAGTGGTAGGAGAAGATAGTAATAGTGGCTGTTTTATGTCATGCGATTGCAACGCTGGTACTTGCCTAAAGGCTTCATAAATTAGTAGGAATTGGCAATTTTCAAATTGTTTAAAGGCTGTTTTATGTACTGTTTTATTGTGTCATAATAGGGACTTTAGCTGAGAAGCAGCATTGGGAGAAGTGGATTTCAAGCAAAGTAGTTGTGATAGTTCTCTTACTTTGTGCATCACTCACAACTCTAGCATTCGTCGCTTCTTTGATATGGTATATCTATCGAAAGGATAAATATCCAGTTCAATTGCCTCTATTCTCATCTGATGGACAAACAAGCTCCAGCAGCGGTACAAACTTCATAAACCTGGGGACTTCTTCGATGGCTGAATATAAAGTTCGTGTAGGTTCATCCATGAAACCTTTAATAGGTAAAATTCCATATTTTGATAAGATTTCCTGTTTCCTTTGGGGATATTGAATCTCTTTCTCATATCTTGTATCAATTTATCCTATGATCATATCTGGTCGGGAGGATTGGATAACATTAGATAGTATTATGTAGAAAAGAAGTTGAAAATCATCTTCATTAAACTACAGTACTGTGTACCAAACATACACTCAAGTGTTTGATTTACTTTGTTTTAAAGTTCAGATGAAAAAATTTTCTGCTCTTCAATTGGATATTTTTACATGCAATATGCAATTGCTCGAATGAATTAAACTTGAAGATTGGTTATTGACATCTCTTTTGATTGTTGCTCTTTTACTTCTTGCTGTCCTAAGGATGCATTCCAAAAACATCCTTCCAATTCAGAAGCAAAACTGGAGCAATACACGGAACAATTATACAGTTTTCATATTCTGAACTGGAAAATGCTACAAACAAATTCTCTGAAGCTAATGTGATTGGAGTTGGAGGAAGCAGCCATGTCTACCTTGGTCATCTCAAAAATGGCCGAATTGTTGCAATTAAGCGAATAAAAACTAAGGCAGGACCAGATGCAGAATATGTTTTCTTGTCTGAGGTACTACTGATCTGCCACAAACAGCTATTATTTATGTATTTGAACAGAACACACTTTGTTACGCAAATAGAACTTACACATTAAAGGGTTGATACACCATTACTGCTTGTGCTCAGATAGAATTGATATCGAGACTTCATCATTGTCATGTTGTGCCTTTGCTTGGATATTGCTCAGAACACCAAGGAAAGCATGCTGAGAGGCTGCTAGTTTTTGAGTATGTGCCTAATGGTAATCTCAGGGAGTGTTTGGATGGGGATTCCGGACAGTGTCTGGACTGGAGTACTCGTATTTCAATAGCTCTTGGAGCTGCGCGTGGCTTGGAATATCTTCATGAAGCGGCTGCACCAAGAATTTTGCACAGAGACGTTAAATCCTCTAACATTCTTTTGGATGAGAACTGGAGAGCCAAGGTAAGTAGAAACATTTTGTTTATGAGCAAAAACAAAGTGAATCAAAAGAAAAAAGGTGACTTATTAAATGTTGAACATGCATCGAGCTAAGCGCAAGGCTGGTCAAAACTCTGACTTCTGACCAATACACGAATCAATATTAGTAATCTCAGAAGTTATTTCGTTTCCCATTAGAAATTTCTGTTGGTTGGTCATTACTTGGAGAAGTTTTCTGTTTGTTCAGTTTGAATTTTTAATGGCATCCTGTTGTTTAATCATGTACGTCTCTGCCTGCAGATTACTGATCTTGGCATGGCTAAGCACCTACATAATGATGGGATTCAAAGTTGTTCCAGTTCTCCAGACAGAATGCAAGGCACTTTTGGTTACTTTGCACCAGAGTACGCAATTGTTGGAAAAGCTTCCCTGAAGTCCGATGTTTTCAGTTTTGGCGTGGTTCTTCTTGAACTCATTACTGGTCGGCATCCCATCCACAAGTCTGACAACAAAGGCGAAGAGAGTCTTGTAATATGGGTATGGAAAATCAGTTTCTTAGTCATTTGGCATGAAAATCCTGCCAGTGGCTCCATTGATTTCTTCAATGTGAAAGTCACCATTTTTGCACATTGAAATCGCATCTTTTATCAGATACTCTTATTTGAATGAACATTTTGAAGATTTTTTTTTCTTTGAAGGTATTTTGAAGTTGTTTACATATACTCTCAACCTTTATCGTGGGTCTTTATGTTAATTTGTGTACTGCAGGCAACACCACGTTTATATGACAGTAAGCGAGTGATTTCAGAGTTAGCAGACCCACGTCTCAAAGGGACTTTCTTGGAAGAGGAGATGCAAGTAATGGCTTACTTAGCAAAGGAGTGTCTATTATTGGATCCTGATTCTCGACCAACCATGAGTGAGGTTGTCCATATTCTTTCAACTGTTGCACCAGATAAATCTAAAAGGAAGAACTTGCAACTACATTCTTTTCAGGTAATCTTTGAAACTGACCATTATTAAGCCTTTTGGTGCTTATCATGTGTCTATCCTGTGAATAATAACTCCATGTTTGTGTCATGCATTAATCTTCTTTTTTTCTTTGTGGTGGTGTAAGTTTTAATCAAGTCGAGGTGGAAGCCAAAAGGGCCTTGGATGAAATCAGCCTTTCCCATTCTTTTAACGTCTACAAAATGATGATTTTGGTTATAACAATTTCACTTTAAAGCTGACTTTTGGGAAACATTAATACAAGTATATTCATATGGCTAGGATATGAGATGCCCCAAAATGACTAGAATTCATCCATGATTGAGAAAATACATTCTTTCTTCTCTTATGCATGGAAAGGGAATAATGAAATATAAGAAGAAAAAAAAAATCTTCAGGCATTAATCCAAGATCCTGTTTGCAGACGAGCAAGTTATTTCTAGCTATCCATGCTGTCCTTATTCCTTTTGTAACAAAAATCTTAGGCTCCAGTCTGTCCCAAACGCCACTTGCCCAATTTTGGTATTTGCTGTTTCAATTGCAAGCAGCTGGTGAACCAGTTGCACCTTAGAATTTCCACAGACTTCATATCAAAGTGAATAATCTTTAGGAGTTGTGCATTAGTTTGACCATGAATGTGGCTGATCTAAGCTCCAACAAAATGCTGATGACGCGTGTGGTGAACTCAAACTGGCACACTTAGGATCAGCTCGGTATGATTGCTCTAGAGAAGTTAAATGAATAATGTATCCTTCTGTTTAGGAAAGGATAAAATGGCTATCTTTAGCTAACTATAAATTAGACGGTTCGTAGGAGAGAAGTCTGTGCACAGTGTGCACCCCACCTTCAGAAGTGGCTTAACCTCAATATATGTTTACACTTGTGCTAGAATTGCAATAATCAGTATTTCTATCTTTGAAGGCACGTCGTTTGCAATTTGTAACTAATTCTTCATGAGGCAGAAATCTAAGATTACTGTCATTAGTCCTTTTTTCTCTGAGTCCGAACTTTATTTTCACTTCCTCCCCCACTTTTTGATTCCTCCCCCCATTTAGAATTTCGTCTATTGTAAGTTAATGAATTTTTCGTCAATTGTCTGTCACATACAGTATTCATCCATCCTTGGCACCGAAAGTGGAAACTCAGAGAAGTGTGATGAAGAACTTGTTCAGACCGTCGCAGCTGAGGAAATCAAGCAAATTACATCTGAACAACCAGCTCGATCCTCATTGCCTTCCAACATCGTTACTAATCTCTGTGTTAAAAAGAGTGATAAAGAAGCAAATAATCCTTCCACTGATATGGAATTATTGATGCTTCTCACCTCAAAATCGAAAAAGTGGCGTGCAACTGACGATGAAATTGTGGACTTAACCGAACCCCGGCTTGAATCATTCCATTTGCCTAACATAAACTCCCAAATATTAGATTTGCAAAAATAGCAGCTTCTGCGTAACTGATTTCTTCCCTTTCTCTTTAGAAATGATCATAGATTTGTTAACTGATGATAGATATATGGTAAGCCTTAGTTGAATGTAAATAATTTATAGAAAATTTGATTGCTTTTCATTCAGACACTGAGTTACATATGTGAACTTGAACAATTATCCCAGCCAGTGTATTGCAAAATGCTTGATAGAGTTGGGTTTCAAGTTTCTATATCTTCAAAAAATGGAAAGTTCGATAAAATTGGGATCTTTTTGGAACTTGGATGCAATTACTAATTCATGATCTGGCATGTACAGAATGGGGTTCGAAATCAAGTTCCATTTGGATTTGACAAAGACAGGTATGTAAGCTCGAGCTAGAAGGGGGCAGGTCTACTTAAAATCGCTCTTTGGAGGCAAATTGCCTCTCAAGAGACGACGAAATTAGGGCAAAGGAAAAAATTAAAAATCAACTTTTTCGTAAATTCAAGGGTGTATATTATAGAACAATTAATCTAATTTAAACAAAAATTAATAGAATTTGTAATAGGCTAGAACTTTACCAGAATATTAAACTAATATACTCTAATTTAAACAAATATAATTAAATTAAACTCTATTTTTAAAATCACATCTAAATTCTATTTTTATTCTCTCTATCTTTATCTTTATTTTCACTAAAAAAAAAAAAATCATACTTTTTAACCATATATTCTCAAAAAAAATCATGTTTTTCCAAAATCTATTCTGAAAAACAGGGACTTAGCAATTGGAACAACAATCTGCTGGCTCATTAGCAAAATTATATCTGAGTCCAAATATACAAATTTTATAAAGTTCGAGGGCCAAGAGTGAAAATATTCCTATTAGAAAAAAAGGCTGAAGGCTTAAGGGTCTTTTTGCCCAATTTAAACCTGGCAGACCGGAGAGAAAGCGAGCCACCTCCGCCACCCGCTCCATTGCTCTCTCTCACACACACTCGCGCACACACGCAGAGGCACTTCACATACAAATAAAAGAGGATGGCTGGAAAAATAAGCAATACGCCGGCAACATACACACCGTCGCCAACGAGTCAAAACAAGAAGAGACCCTCCACTGTCACCGGCTCCGATTGGGTCCGCCCAGACGGCCGTGGCCTCCACCAGTGTCGCCCTGCATGTACGTATTGTCTATACTTTAAAGTTGTATATGCGTATATAAATATGTTCTGGATACCCGCTTTTCTCTAAACAAGTGACCAATGATTGGGATTTAAATTTAATTGCATGGGTGAATTCGGACTCTATTTATTTGCTCGTTTGATATTTTATTAATCTTGGACTATTATTTTTGTTTTCTCCTCTAGTATAACGTTTGAAATTTTTGCCTTTTATTGAATTATTGAATTCTTTGTTTCTACTTTGTAGTTCACACTTCATAGTGACTTGGCATTGAGTTGATTGAGTGATCTTTTTGTATATATGTGTCTATTGTAATTAAATAATTTTTGTTAGTGTAATATTCAGCAAAGTACTATTAGATAACTGTAGAGACATTTTAAAGAAATTATGCATTCTTTCATTGACAGTATGAAAATGCAAAGAGAATATACACATGGAACCTAAAATATCCTAAAAGAAGAAGAAGAAGGAAAAGATAAATTTATGGATATTACATGTAAATTACATTAATATCTGATACCTCAGTCAAAATCACGGTGCTGGAGTATCAAGTTACAAAATAACTAGGTAGGTATTTTCAAGTATGTAAGTTTTATTCCATTTTCACTTGATGCTTATGTTCTTGAATATTTATTTATTCATTGGGAGTATTACCTGTTGATCGATGTGGTGAAAAATTAGATGGGCTGTTTTATCTTTTCAATGTTCTTTTTGGAACAAATTCCGTATTAATATTGTAAGATACATAGTGTCCTTTCTGCGTGTGTATGTTGCATCTTCATTTATATAGTATAAACTTAGTTTTATACTTGTTATTAATTTTTCTTGTTGAAATTTTTTAAATATGAGTACCTATTTGTTATTTAATAATAATTTTGAGTTTAAAATATAAAATATTTCTAATAAAGAAAGAAAAATGACAATGTAGAGTGTCTGAGGACTGTCGATATCCGACACGTGTTCGACACGAATACGCTATTCTAGTTGAAGTGTTCGTACAATAGAGATCAAAGCTACAATAATATTTTCCCATGACTTCATTATGTTTCCTGACATACCAATCTTTGATTGAGGGAATTCCTTGCCGTGTTCTAAAAGACCTCCTTGCTTTCCTAGTAGCTTACTTTGGCTATTGCACCTCTATAATTTGTAGACTGCTCATCCTGAAAAATAGATATTATCCTCTGTACCTAAAAGTTTTTATTCTACACGATGGGGCAAATATATATAATTTGGGCTCTTTGAAGTTGAAATAGTCTATGCTATATTAACTTTAAGAATGTAATTGCGTCCTATTATTTTGTTTGAAAAGAACTAGATTTAGTGAGATTAGGAAAATAACATGGTGACATGTTTAATTTTTGAATTTCTATTTAATGGCCTCTAAATTTCATTTAATTACTTTAAGAATGTGTTAAAGGTTAACATCAGTCTGCTGTTAATAAGCTATTTTTATTTCAAGATTCTGATTTTTTTTTGTGTTGGTATTTCTTAGTTAAACATGTTGCCGATGAAGTTTATGTTCTCGGATACATGACTATTCAAAGACCAGGAATTAGTCTAACTCGTTGGTACTTAATATGAAAATAATTCCAAGTTTTGCATTTTCTTGTCTTCTGTGACAGTATGTTGCTCTATTAATAATTGTTTCTTTTGAAGTTTAGTTGAAATGATATCCTGAATGTTGGACTAATCAAAACGCATTTTGGTTTGAGACTTTCAGTTCTAAGGACTGGTGCGGTGAATTCTGCTTCAGGATCTGCTTACGCTGAGTTTGGAAATACCAAGGTCATTGTATCTGTGTGAGTATACTCTAAATATACTAGACTATTCTTTTACATTGTTTAGAGTTCCTCATGCTTCCATGAGATAATATTTTTTATGAAAGTTAGCTTAAATCAGTTTTGAAATTTATGTGTGTGTCACCGGCATTTTTAATTAAATGAAGTACCTGTTGATGTACCTGTGAGGAATCTCAGGGAAGATATCTTAGACAGTTAAGACTCCAAAAGTTTCTTTCAACCCACTTGAAGTTTGAACTGATGGTCACTTTGATAATAATTTTGCAAAGTAAAAAAGATGAGATTGCACAATGAAAAGAGAAAGTAGAATCCATAAATGTCCTCTCTAAGAAACGCGTATGAATTTCAATGTGGTGTGGTATGTCATGTAACAACATTACAGGATTTCTAGATGTTTTTTTTCTCATTGTTCCTTCTATAATTCATTTTCCACTGAGTGTTTCTAAATTTTTCCATTGATTTTGTTGTTTAGATTTGGGCCACGGGAAAGTAAGAAAGCAATGATGTACAGTGACATAGGCAGACTGAATTGTAATGTCAGTTATACAAGCTTTGCTACTCCGATTCGTGGACAGGTACATGAGAGCTTTGATCCCTATACTACTCTGTTATTATCTCTCCTTCCATAGTAATCTTCTTCATCAATTTGATGCTTCTTGTTTGTCAGGCTTCAGAGGGTAAGGATCTTTCCTCAATGCTTCACAAAGCTTTGGAAGGTGCCATCATACTGGAATCTTTCCCCAAGACAACTGTAGATGTATTTGCTTTGGTGTTGGAGTCTGGTGGAAGTAAGTTTCACATTTTGGTTGTCTTTTTCGATGAATTACTGGCTATACATCTGGTGATGATGGACTAAAATCTTAATCAACTCTCTTTAAGTTTATTATTATTTAACGCCTGCATTTTTTCTTTACACTTGAAAATATCCTGTAAGTGTTTTACTATTTTTTTTTAATTTTAACTTCCCTGGTGGGGGTGATGTAGACGAGGTAGAGAGCTTATTTAGATTCTGGGACAATTATATATCGGTTCATTATAATACTTTGGTAAATATGCTCGGAGCTAGCCTAATGCGTCATATGCTTATGAAAGTAATATTTCATGATTACAGGCGATCTCCCAGTGGTTATATCATGCGCCAGTCTTGCTCTATCAGATGCAGGGATTAGGTTGTATGACATAGTTGCCTCTGTTTCTATGGTATGCATGAAAATCCTTCATTTCTTTTTCTTAGAATTTCACATGGCCAAATTTTTCTGTAAGTGGAGAAATTTTGAACTATTTTTTCCATTCTTAAATTATCCAGAAACTGACAGAGAACCTTTTTCACTGTTAGTCAAACTTTTGTGGAAGAATTAGATAAACCAATCTTCTTGGTGTTGTTGTCTGGTTGGGTGATGAACTGTAACTTTTTTCCCCTTCCTACTATGAATGTAGGGTTGATATTATTATCAGTATCACCTATTAGAAATGATGACCCACAAGTCTGTATTTGTTTCCGTATTTTCTAGGCGATCCCATGAATCCTCTTTTAATAAGAAACATGGTTCTTTCTTGACAAAATAAGTTCAGTTTGTATAATATCTTCTGGTTGAATTCCATGCCGTCTTACAATATCTCTATGCATTACAAGTCATGTCTGGGGAAGAACCTTGTCATTGATCCAGTGTCGGAAGAGGAAAGCTATCAAGATGGGAGCCTAATGATTACTTGCATGCCATCTCGTAATGAAGTTACTCAGATGACTGTAACAGGAGAATGGTCGACCCCAAAGATTCACGAGGTATACAAACATGTTGCTTGTCTACTTGTTATAATGTTTGTAAAGTTGTTTTATTGTCTGCTTCTGGTCTCATTTTCTGTAGTACAGTGCAAAATCAACATATAAAGTAACCAAATTTGCTTTGAGGCTCAATGATGAAATTTGCATTAATGCACGTGTTTTCCTGGCCCTGTAAATCATGTCAAAATTGAGATTTCTTCCGAAGAACTAATATTATCTTGTATGCAGGCAATGCAGTTATGCCTCGATGCTTGTTGGAAACTGGGGAAGATCATGAGATCATGCCTAAAAGAAGCTGTTTCTGCTCCAGAAGAATAGAAAATTGTGTTGCGCAGTGGGTTTTTTTTCACTTTATTAATCCCAAGAATGTTTGGCTAGGCTTAAAATATTAAAATTTGCTTATTTCTTCTAATTAAAGAAGGTATACTCAGTTTGAAAGTAGTTATTCCTTTGCTTGTGCATGAAATTACTCACTA